TATAAAAATAATGTACAAGGTAAAGATGTCAAACTTCATTGGTATCGACGGCTCTTGGGTCCGGGCGCCGCGTGTGGCAGATGCCACTCCTTAGGCACATCTCTTTCTCCTCCGTGGTGGGCAGGCGCCTGGTGCTGGTCAGCTGCTTGAACAGGGTGGCAGACTCCTTTGGCGTCCTGGGGCGCGCGGGGTCCGTGAAGTTGACGGCGTGCATCCCGAACAGCACCCTGCAAAGCACGGGGTGCCTTAGATTATTTTGTTTCCACGGAGGAGGAGAACCCATATCGTTGGGACGTCGGGCGAGCGAACACATTGCTGACCAATCCAAATCTAGGAAGACGTGACGAGAGGTGGGGAAGGGGAGGAGGTGGAGGGGGGCGCTTTGAATAGACCGCGCTAGCCCGAGAAGAGGAGGGGGAAGAAAGGGGGAGAGACACGCTCAAACCAAGCGAGAAAGTCTTCGGGAGTGACAAGGACGGGAAATGGAGATGACTGCTGACCTACTAGAAACGGCCCAAAGAGAAAGGTGCGGGGGACACATACTGGCTCGAGGCGTTACCATCTGCCGTCAGCGAGGTTCCATGGTGTAATGGTTAGCACTCAGGACTCTGAATCCTGCGATCCGAGTTCAAGTCTCGGTGGAACCTTCTTTTTTTTCTGCTGGTCAGGGTCGAGTGTCACTTGGACCACGTGAATCGTAAATATTTTCACACTTTAAAAGAGCGACAACAGCTTTACACACTTGTAGGAACGTTACTCCGTAAGCAAGTACTTAGGTACTTGCGACGCCTTTTAATTTCTACACTTTCATTAATGTATACATGCTTACAAATGTACGCATTTATAAATATGTACGCATGTCTGTGTACATCTTTTACAGTGCACGGGGCATACGGCGTTATGTGCAGTCGTTCCTCAATGTTCATGGGTACATGTGTACCTGGACATATATGGCTGACTCGCACCGCGCACCTTCATGGTTATACTGTACCGCATGCACGGGTGCGGGCTGGTTGCCTACTCGCACGGAGCCACACGGACCCGTAGGGTGGGCAGTGAGTGATAGGCAAACCCGCCTCCGCACCCTCGCATACGGATGAGTAGTCAGCCACCTGGTCCATTTATACATGGACATTAATAAGTGCGTACATGGGCACATTTATAAATACGTACATGGGCATATACACTTTTATAAATTTGTACACATTTAAAAACTCGTGCAAAGGCATGTCCACATTAAATTTAAGTAGGCATATACATGCCACGTACACTATTTGAAGTTTGCCATTGAGTACACATTTGAATCGACAGAGTACAAATAAGCACAGAGTTAAGCATCACTCTTCTACTTAGCGGGGCACATTTAAAAGAATTGCCTGCCCTCAGAGAGAATCGAACTCTCGACCCCCAGTTTACTAGACTGGTGCTCTAACCACTGAGCTATGAGGGCTGCTGCGATGGCGGGGAAGCAGATACGGTAGAGTGTTGCGCGGACCTGCCGACCTGCCCGCCGCCGGGCGAAGTGTGTGCCAAGCGATCCGATAGCACAGCTGTCCCGGTTCCCCTCCCCCCACCCCTCCTTCCCCCACCCGGGTTCTGGGGTTCTGGGCCTCATCGGAAAGAAATTATATGCGAGGACTGCGAAATACAGTAATGCACCGTAAACGCAAGTGTGTGATGCCGCACACTTGCAGACAAGTGAATGGCCATTCGTACACTTGCGGGAGTTAAAGTGAGAATTTTCATTTGAAAATTCGCACACTTGTGCCTCTATGTGTACGAATGAAGTTCACACACCTACAAGTGTGCGTCATACACAAACTTGCGTTTCCGGAAACGCAAGTGTGTGAATTACGCATACTTGTAGATGTGTGAATGGTCATTCGTACACGTACGAGAGTAAAGGTGAGAATTTTCATTTAAAAATTCGCACATTTGTGCTTCCGTGTGTACGAATGGCATTCACACACTTTCAAGTATGCGACATTCACACACTTCGGTTTCCTGTGTTACACTTACTGGTAGCCGTCCGTCCACTCGAAGTTGTCCAACAGTGACCACGTCATGTAGCCCCGCACGTCGCACCCGTCCGCGTGGATCGCGTTCAACAACTCCTCCAGGTAGCCCTGGAAAGTGAGGCGGTAAAACGTGGCAAAAATGCAAAGACGGGTAAGTCGTTTATTTTTGGATAAGTTTTTCGCGGTATTCGTGTCGTCGCTATGCACCCAGGCGCATGGCAAAACCCACGTTTTGAAGCTGGGCATGATAAAGATATATCGGTGTAGATAGTATTTCGAGGTGGGCCGGCGGCAGACTCACCATGAGGTATTCTTGTCGTCCCGTATCGTGGATTTCTCCGCGGTCCGCGAAACCGTTCTCCGTCACATACAACGGCGGGTTCCCGTACTGATCTCGCACCCAGACCAAGAGCTTCCTGAAGCCCCACGGGACCGTCTAAAAAACATTCATGGAGATTTATTGGGGAAAGGAAGGTCGTCGACAAACTTCAGATGGAGATTTTAGGTGATAATGAAAAATGACCTTGAGCCAGTACACCGCACTGCCGGGCCACTTCGGGTCTTTGGTCTTGAGCACGCCGATGTCGTTGTCTCTAGACGTGACTCCACGACGGCCACCGTCGTCGGGCTGGGGCGTGGCGAGGTACGACGAGTAGTGGTTCAACGCAAAGAAGTCGGCGGACCCTACAGACAGCGGCGGACATCGTCGCAGTGTAAGTCCTATTACGCGAAAACCAAAAATTAAATGCAGCATGCACATACCTTTGACCAGGGCGACGTCCTCCGGCGTGAAGGTCGGAAGGCGTGACCTTGAGCGTCCCTCCGCCAGGCTGTTGACCATCACCCTCTCCTTCATGGCGGGGGGATAGTCCCCCGTCTCGCTGAAGATGGGGTGAGCGAACCACCCTAACTGCGCGTACATAGGGGGGAGCATCAAAAAGAGTGGGTATATGTGGAGGAGAGGTGTGGGGAGGGGGGGGGATAGTTTCATCCAGGACAGCGGAAGCGGGCCAACATCCTATGCAATACTGAGATGCAGTTTAGTTCGCCTTGTGGAAAAAATCTCACGGAGACACCAAAAACTTGCGACAATATCTTAAACAAATGACAAAACCTGCACAGACAAAAAAAAGTTGTACGAAATTTTAACTAACAAATTAAAGTTAGGTGATTGATGTATGATGTTTCTTAGTAATTTCCCATTCCGCACTCGCCGTTTAGCGGCGGCGGCCGTAGAAATGTTACATTTTGCGGG